CAACAAAACATTTGTGAGATTTAATCTAAATAAATCATAAATAATAAATCATTTTTAATTATAAAATCATTCTAGTTGACCAATAAGAATGATCAAAACCTTAATTTGTGTTACCATTAAAATATACTCTGACCGTTTAAGAGATAAATTGAAAAAACTTATTTTTCGTTAGAAAAAAGATTTTAAATTGAAAAAACTTAATTTTTCGTTAGAAAAAAGATTTTAAATAAATTATCTTTTTTCTAAACTTTTTTAATAACAAAAAATAATTAACGAAAAATAATTTTTTTAAAAATTAAATTTTTTCTAACAAAAATAACTTTTCTAACAAAAACAATGCCGCCAAAAGACCGCGCAAGAAGACAGGTAGATAAAAATAGGATAGAGCAAGTGTTTATCATAAGAATAGTGGTTGTCGTTATTATTAAAAAATGGTGGTGGTGATTATTGATCATTCTATTCTATTTTTTTTTTTTTTGTATCATATTGATAATATCAGGACGAACGAAGAGCGATAAAAGTGGTATATAGTAAAGTGTAGGTGAGTTTTACAAAGGATAAAACTATCAACATTAATTTGACAATAATTTTTTAAACATTATTGCTTAATATTTTTTTGTTCTTCGAAAAAATATTTTCAAATTAAAAGGGGAGCGGTGGAGAAGGAAAATACAGAAGTTGCAGTAAAGACTACAACTCGAAGTATAATTATTGGCGACAAAAAACCATCCAAAATTTATAATTTTGATCAAGTGTTCGGAGAAATAAACATGCAATAGAAGCTGGAAAAATCAACCAAAGCTTATTATTATTAACACTTGGTCGACGCCATCAGGAAATTTTCCCGCTGTAATATTACGTCCATAAATTTTAATATGTAAATTTGTGATATTTGCATATAAAATTAATATTTTTACACTCAATGTAATAATTGCTTATTTGCATAATATTACGGGGCCCGCCGTAAACTTATGTAAATAGTGTAATAATTACGTAAATCCGCATCAGAAAAAATTTCCTGATGGCATCAATAATCTTAATGAGAACGCAAAACACATCCCGTATAGGTATGATATATATATATGTATACAAACATTATAAAGTCAATCAATTAAATATTGTTAAATTAGAATAATGTTTTTCATTTTATTATTGTTTTTATTATTAAGGGAGAGTAAACTAACTCGCCTACTACAAGACTCGCTTCTTGAGGAAACAATATCAACATTGGAGTACGCATCTCGAGCCAAAAAAATTAAAAATGAGCCGGTTGCACATCAGTGTTGTGACTCGAAACTCTGAGTTTAGGGAAAACCAGAAACAGAAACTAACAGAAACCACCCGAATCTAGTTTAGGTTAGTAGTTTATGTTTATGTTTAGGTTTAGGTTCATTTTCCCGTTTCGGGAAGCCAAAAGAGTTTCTGGTCACAACACTGTTGCACATCTTGAAAAAAAGACCTCAGATGTGGAGGTGGAGCTCCTTAAGGAGAAGCTGATGGTAAGAAGAAGAATTGATTTTTTTTTTAATCTGAAGAAATAAATTTTATACTTACAAAAAATTTATATATTGTTGATATAATGATTTTCATTTTATTATTATTTTTATTAAGTGAGAGTAACTTAACTCGTCTATTACAAGACTCGCTTCTTGAGGAAACTATATCAACGTTGGAATATGCGACTCGCACAAAAAAAATCAAAAATGCGCCACTTGCGCAAATTAAAAAGGAGGCCTCGGGGGTGGAGATGGATATTCTTAGGGAGAAATTAAAGGTAAGAAGAAGAATTGATTTTTTTTTTTTGATCTGAAGAAATAAATTTTATATTTACAAAAAATTTATATATTGTTGATAGGTGGCGGAGGAGGAAATATCCTCGTTGAAGAGGAAGTTGGAGGAGTATGAGGAGGGGCTCTTGGCGGTGATGTAAAAAATAAAAAATTAATTTTTTAAAAAGTGTAACTTGACCGTTTAAAATGTTTGTTATTAACCGTAAATTGACTTTCATTGTCTAATGAACACAGGCCCATATGTGCTCATGTATGGCGATAGAAAAAATTTCCTGGTGGATTACTTTATTATTTTATTATTGTGTAGCGCATACCATACGCACCAATTTTTAAAATCCCATTAAATAGATTTTCTCAAAATAATAAAAGTTCCTAACATATTTGAATAAAATGATTGGATGATAAAGGATATATAAATCAAAATATTTTTGCTTTCACGATATTAATATCTATCGTTTGCATAATAGGGTATACAACTTTGCGTTTGGTATTCAATTAATTAATTTTAATCCGGAAAGAATTATTATTACGCAACCATTAATCAGAAAAAATTTGTTATTACGCAGCCACCAAAAAAATTAATATGATATTAATTAATCACTTTAGATGGTTAAACTATCTGACTCGGAAAGAGTTATTACGCAACCTCTAATCAGATATTATTGATAGTTTTTTCAATAATCAAATTTTTTATTATCCAAGTTACAAAGTAATACAACCAAATTGTAAAATGCTACCCATAAAAGAGAATCAATATATTATATATACATATAAGTGAAGAAAGACGGGATTCTAAATTGGCACAAGAGAATTTTAAATCACACACAAAACCTTATTCCTTTCCCTTCAATAATAGCTTTGGTGTAGTCTTGGTTTCCATGCAATTGCTCTGGCAAATTTTTTATCTTATATTTTTAATTACATATCTTAAATAAAACAAAAAACAATAAAATAAATAAGCATAACTTAGCTTTTTATTGTTGTCTAATACCTTTGCCCCCGCTGCTGCACATACCTATTACAATGTTTATGATGATTATTCAATAACAAATAATTGCATCATCCAAAGTAATAAACAATACCAAGACCATGTAGTAAGAAATTTTTAAGATCTAATTTATGTGTGGCTCTGGGATTCACAAAATAAATAAATAATATTATCCTCACTTGACTGGTGCTGTTAGAGAAAAGAGAATCAACAAAAAAAAATTTCCTCCTCAATTGTATAGTTTCTTAAAAACCATAAATAAATCTGATGATATTGATTACATGTGTCGGATTTAATTAATTTTCCTATCACAAACAAACAGGACTGCGCAATTTAGCACCATTCGGCATCATGGAATTTTTTCATGGGTGTAATAGTCCTACAGATTGGATAAGCTCTTGTAAGGTTGGCAAAACTTCCTTTTATCTTCCCCTCAAACCAGACTTGGCTGTTGTCATATAGTCTTGTGTATTTAACTCTGCCACCCCATCAGGATGCTGGGTCGCTATCTTGTTGATAGCACGCATACTCACCAACAAAAGCTTAGACCTAAGGTCGGGGACTATTCCCAGTTCCCCCACTCCATTTAAAATAATAAATACAGGTTAATCAAAAAAAATTTATTAAAGAAACAGAGATTTAGGAAAATAGTTAATTTATATAAAATATACCAAATAAATCTGAATTATTTTACGGCTTTCCAGAGATTGCGGTGATTGCTTGGGACAAAGTAACCAAATGTGATGTGAAAGATGTCCAGCAGGCTCTTTGAAAAAGATAGAACTCAAATGCAATTTCAGAGTCTCACTCTGAATTGTAACTTATCTTCTGTGATGTATGCTATTTTTTATCGGTCCTTTTCCATGACTTTTATTTTCCAATAGCCACTCGACCTAGGTTGCAATCTTCTGAGTTGCAGTTTCTTAATCACAAAGCCATCCTTAATTACCCTAGAAGTAGGATTGTTGCAGGCAACTTTTTGGCCTTCGCTGAGTAATACCGGTTTAGGTGCCGTGAGGGAAAATCAGTATTTACAAAATGACCTTGACAATGATGCAAGCTTCATAAACTCCAGGGCCATACTTCCCCCAGAATTTAGTTGCATCATCATATCCATAGGGCAAGGCAGGTCAGATTAGCCTTGTACACAAGGAAAAGAGAATGACTGTAATGTTTTAGATAATCAACATCTGTCAATTTCCAATTAAATATTGCATATCAAATTTTTTCCCAATTGTTTAGGTGCAGTTTTCTATCCCATCTTCAATAGTCATGCTACATTCCTAACCCTTGACATTTTCTTAATATTAATAATGGTTACAAATAGCAAATGCACAAATCATTTATTATCTTGATAGAGAATCTTAATAAATACCTAAAAGACATGAAAAATCTTGCTCCACGCAATTTCAATATATATTTGTTAATACAAAAAAAAAGCATATTTCTTCTTCTTTAGAACCAATCATACCAATTAATCCCTATGTTTGCTAATGAATGAATACCTGGATCCCTTGTCATCTAAAGTAAACTGATTGTTTTTACCAAAAAAAAAAAATGAAAAAACGGTGATTGTTGTATCACAGATTTAAGATCATGTGGACCAGTTGATGATAAATTGTCAAATAGAATTTATGATGAACTTTCTCAAAAAGGGAAAAATAGATATTTATTGCTGGGTGTCCACCATTTTGATGATAAAGCCTCATGATTTAAATTTAATGTTTAATATTGTAATGGATTAAGACTATCAATATTACCAAGAATGCCAAAAAAATATGTAGAAGAGATGCAAAAAAAAGTGTTGGGATAGTGGTCCATCTAAAAGGCCAACTATTAGTGTATAAAATGAAGATTTAAGTAATGAAACTATAATTCCTACCATCAACAATAATAATCCCAGTCAAAAATCGCGTCTATTGTCATATCATTTCAGCAGAATATTGGATGTTAATCTTGTCACATTTAAAGAATTAATAATTAATAATAGTCATGACGCTTTAATAAACTTGATAACTATGATGAAGGTAAACTATAGTACTGAATGTCAACCTATTACTAATAGGATATTTTGTTCATAATTAATCAATATTAGACTCTGGTAACAATAATAGTGATGGTGAAGGAAAGGAAATTGAAAAAATTAACAAGGCTGACCAAGTAAATGAATTGAGCGGATTGGGTGGAAGATTGGTAGTGATAGGCAGTTAATTAATAACTTAAAAATTAATGAGGTTATTAACTTTTGAGCAAAAGGATTAACCCTTCCTTCAATCAAAGGAATTATACAGCAAGTATTATGCATATTTTTTCAATGTTTATTTCAGGGAATAATAGCAATCAATTTCTTGATTTTTAAAATATCTGAATCGTGAGCAACCCTTTGATCAATTATTCAAAATCCCTTTTGTTTTTGGAAATCAGTAAATATCAAATCGCAAATTATCCTCTTTCTTTACCTGGTCTGTTATGACATCAATTCATACATCAAAACGTAATTGTCCCACAAATACTTGTGCTTCAAAAATTAAAAAATCAAATTGCTACAAAATCATTAAATAATCTCCAATACCTACCAATTGGTGCTGATATAAATCCTGGACGAAGTTTCACAAGATGAAGTGTAGGAAAATAGGAGAAAACCTTCTTTTGCTAATATAAAGATTAGCAAATGAGTAAGTAATTTTTGTTTACAAAATACCACTTTTTGATTAAGTTTTTAATAGTTTTTAACCACTGCGGACGGATTGTACAAATTATCAATCTACTGTATGATTATTATTATATTGTTATTAATTTTATTCTTTTATCGTGGTTATGGAATTTGGTATATTTATTTACCTGATTGTTTTTTTTTACGAGAAATAATAATTTTAAAGGAAATAAATTTCTTTTTTTATTATGTTTTTTTAAATAGTCTAATACTAAATTGATGTCGAAAGTCTGAAATGTTAATTAATCTAAATACAAACCAATAACAAATAGTAAATATGAATAGAAACAAATTATTTAATACAAAAAAAGTCAATTTACAGTTAATAACAAACATTTGAAACAGTCAAGTTTCACTTATTAAAAAATTAATTTTTTATTTTTTTAATTAAATCTAAGAGCCTCTCCTCATACTCCTCCAACTTCCTCTTCAACGAGGAAATTTCCTCCTCCGCCACCTATCAACAATATATAAATTTTTTGTAAATATAAAATTTATTTCTTCAGATCAAAAAAAAAATCAATTCTTCTTCTTACCATCAGCTTCTCCTTAATGAGCTCCACCTCCACCACTGAGGCCTTTTTTTCAATATTAATATGTGCAACCGGCACATTTTTTATTTTCTTTGCACGGGTTGCGTACACTAACGTTCAAGCAAACTATAAATTTCGTATGTATAAATAAAATTAAAATTTATTTCCTCGGATCAAAAAAAAAACAATTCTTCTTCTTACCATGCTCTAATGATACTTGCTCATTTATAATTGCCCGATTCCTCTTCTCGATCTATTTTTTTATTTTTGTTTTTGGCATCTTAAAAAAATAGCTTTTGAGAAGAGAAGAAAAATAGATGGTGATGAATAAACGATGATAGTTAAAAATAACTAGTGAAGGTGTATATAAGAGAAAATGTTTTTGAATAATTTGAATAACTTGAATAATATACAGTCTGCCCTTGTTTCAACGAAGTGGCTGGACATATAAGAAAATTTTATTCAGCATTCGTTGAAACAAGGTTACTAATCGCGTTTCAACGAATTTTTGTTTTCATAATGTGTAACAACGTTTTTAAAAATTCGTTGTATCAAAAATTTAATTATACTTCGTTGAAACAAGGGT